AGGGTATTTTGAAATTGTCAGGGATTGAATTGAAAATTCTAAAATTTCATTTTGGGATATGATAGTTATGGGATGAATCTGTAATTTTTGAAGGGTATTTTGGTCTTTTTGGGGTCAAAAAACACCCGAGCTTTAAGGCCGGTTCTTTACCCAATCCCAAATTTAATTAGGATTGTAAATTGTAACCATTTCATTTTTACTTCTCCGTAGTACTCCTCACATAGACAAAAAATAACCTATTAGTTTGAGGATGTTTTAGATATTTTATAAACTATACTAGAACAATCATATTCATGACAACAACATTAGAACTTCATTATAACCCTCCTCAATTTTGAATTTTCCTACAGTCCACTCTTGTGGTGTTAAATTCAACATAATCTTCCAGATTCTGTAAAATGTTTTCTAGTTTGTATTCGTTTTGTTCAAAAATGTTGTTTCTGATGCAACACAATCTAATATTTACAAACCAAGAAACACATTTTATGATCATCTTGTTTCAAAATGTGAAGCTCGAATAAGATAAAACGGGTACAAACTGAATAATACTCCACATTTTCTAGAAGATTCCACTGAATTTGAGATCATAATGATGGACGAGTAAGAAGATTCATAGTTGAATGAGTGGTTGTAATTACCCAAGCATGAGGAGTTTTTTCGTTATTTAACCTTACCTCAGGGAGTGACCGTAATTTACTTAATATATTCAGAATTTTGTATAATTAATAATTGTGCATATTGCAAATATTTATTTCCAAAATTCTGTTAACTAGGTATCATATAAAAAATAAAATTTTATAAGGATCTTAAGTTCGAATTTATTGGTACTTATTGTGATTTGTATACAATTAGTAAATAATATGGGGTTGAAAATGAGAATACATATTTATTTTTTAGGCTCTTTGAGAAAACCCCTTATTACTTCTTTTAATTGGGAGAGACCCAAAATATTTTGCTCAATTTGAGAAAAGTCCACACCCGTTTTCAGCCATTATTTTTTCCAATTTTGCCCCGCCCGCCACGTCATCACTGCGTCGCGCTGGTCATCAGCGTTTTTTTTTTCCATTTTTTTTTCCGTTTTTTTTCTTTTCTGTATCAGTTTTATTAATCGACTATGAAGCATTCGACTAGTTAACTTGGCAACTTGCTATGCACTTGCCACATATATAATATTATATAGGGTAAATTATAACCACCCCCTGAGGTATGGTCAAATTACGAAAAACCCCCTCTTGCTTGGATAATTATAACCACCCCCTCAACTGCTCAAATTTAGTGGAGTCTTCGAGATTATATGAAATATTATCAATTTTGTACCCGTTTTATCCCATTCAAACTCTACATTTTAAAGCAAGATGATCATAATATGTGTTTTTTGGCTTGTATATATCAGATTGTGGTGCATCGAAAACTGTATTTTTACACAAAACGAGTACAAACTAGAGCACATTCCACGGAATCTTAGATGATTATGTTGAATTTGACACCATAAGGGTGGATGTGTAAGAAAAAAACATAATTGAGGAGGGTAGATGTAATTATCCAAACAAAAGGAATTTTTTCATAAATTGGCCATACCTGAGAGGGGTGTTTGTAATTTACCCTATCATATATTAACAAAATTTAGCATGATATATTATTTAATTTTTTTAGAGGACATAGTTTAATTTTAAGGGGAATTGCATATAAGCCCATCTCAAGGGATTTAATGCATATATGTTTTGAAAAAAAAAAAAACAGTTTCGCACATACTGTAACTATACTGTAATTTCATCAATATAATATTGTACATTAACCACAAATTTAAACAAATATATCACATTAATCCCTATTTTCATAATATTTATTTTTTTTCAATTTTTTTTTTCTGATTCTTTTTTTCCCAGCCAGATTAGGTGTTGACTTTTTTTTTTTTTTTTTGAAAATTATTTTTCTCTAAATGTTTTCTTCCAGTCGGCTTTGAATTTTTTTTTCTTTTTTCCTTTTTGAAATTTTTGTCCTCTCTAAATTACTGTCTTAACAATAAAATTACTGTCTGAGACAAAAATATTGAATGCCAAAACAACAATATTACTGTTCCGAACAACAACATTACTAATATTACTGTGGAGATAGTAATATTACTGTAGAGATAATGAGATCACAGTCGGACACAACAATATTACAGGCCAAAAAGATAAAATTAATTAATGCCTTAATATTACTGCATTAACAACAATATTAATGTCTGAGACATTAATATTATTGATTTTGACTGCAATATTACTGTTTGAAACAGTAATATTGCATGCCAAGACAGTATATTAATGAAAATAGTTTTTCGAAACAAAGAAAAAGTCAACGCGGGCTGACCTACCGAAAAAAAAATTCAGAAAAAAAAAATTCAACGGCAACTGACTAGCGGATAAAGAATTTTTGAAAAAAAAAATTTCAGAAAAAAAGATTAAAGTCAAAGTTGGAGACCGACGGTGGCAGTTAAAATAAATTAATTGGTGAAATT